TATTACCCCATCCATTGTGCCTGCAGTCTGTAATCGACGTTTCTCTTCCTGTACACCCGACGTTTCTCAGCCATATTATACCCTTGACGGTTGTAAAGTCTGTAGTTAGGTGTTCCTTTACTCCCGGGTAACCAAGCATACGACACACCACCTCAGCGTCTTTCATGTCCCATCCATCATTACATACAGTACCCCACTGACCRTGGTACCTGACTTCAAGTCGACCAGAATTGACTGACCTTCCTCCAGCTAAACGAACTTGAACTGGTGGAGGATCTGTGGATTTGCATCAACATCATTGAGGTCATTGTACAACTGTCACTTGGACAAGTGTTTGAAAGAGAATAAGTAGAGCTTTACTAAAGCTATTGTCTGATCAACAAATGAACCATTTAGATTATTGCCTTTGATGTGATGATAATTGAATGATTAGAGTAAATTAGAGATTTGTCTTTCTTACCTTCATTTGTCTGACAAACCACACCAGCTAGGCGTTTGTTTGAGCAAAATAAATAAACATTCCACCATTCTAGGTGAGCACACTCTGCTATCGACTTTTCTCTACCCCTGCATGCCATATATTTTAAGAGCGTTCTTCTTGGTATCTCTCCTTCAATGTACCGAATTAAATGTTCAGCTGCCTCGTAACCAAGCATTCTGCAGATCACGTGAGCATCTCGTATATCCCACCACCAAACATCACACACTACTCCCCAGGTCCCTTGATACAGAATTTCTACTTTGCCAGTATGGTTTTGATCTCCAACCAGACGAACTTTGATCGCTTTCTCCTCTGAAACAAATAGTGTTCAATAAACAACCAACACTCTAATCACATCCCTTACATTGCTTAATTTGATGCTAAGACAGTAACGGTGCACATTATGTATACATAACTTTTCTAATAAACGTGGTGACAAAAAGTATAACTTGAATATTTGATAAAAGTGGAAAACGCACTAATGCAAGAAGCATCATTTGATGATATAAAATTCTTATTTTTTGACACGATTGAATAGATAAACAAAGATCCTATGAAAGGGTTATTTTTGAAAGTTATCTAGTTGTACCTTGTGTTAGATTGCCACATACCACTCCAGCATCACGCCTATGATCACATCCAACAGTGTTACCCCAGCCAGCATGAAGACACTGATCAATAGATTCTTGGGATCCTGTGCAAAGGAGACCTTTAAGCCATATTTGACCAGTTCCTTTGACGCTAGCAGTTGTTGCTGTAACTGCCTTGGAGTAATTCAACATGTTACACACCACGTCAGCAGCGTATATGTCCCATCCATGATTGCATATGGTACCCCAAGTACCTTTGTATCTTACTTCTACACGTCCCTCGTTCATGAGTCTTGCCATCCACTAGACGAACACCTACATCAGACGTTGGTCTCTAAAATTGGTAAAATTGGAATTTATAAATTCATAAGTACTACTGATCGATCTTATTCTCTTAGGTTTTTATTTTGCAGGTATTCAGCATAGCTTATAACTTCATTTGAATTTGATGAACACAATAGTGTTGTTTTTCCATTTAGGTTCTAATGGAATGAAGATTAAAAAATTCGTCTCATGGTGCAGAATTGCGTAACACATGGAATACCTCTAAAACATATATATTTCATACCCTTCCTTGGAAAATGAAGTGCCTTTTCCACTCTTAACCACTAATTTAGTTAAATAAATCCCTGTATCTTCATCTTATTATATATTTGCCCTTCAAATGGTGTTAAATAACATGGATGAAAAAATAGAAAACCAGACTTTAAAAAAATCATATACATATGAAACACTCGTCATACACGTCACTCCAACGTCTTCCCMATGGTAGCAGTTTGTATTACCCCATCCATTGTGACTACAGTCTGTAATCGACGTTTCTCTTCCTGTACAACCGACGTATCTCAGCCATATTTTACCCTTGACTGGTGTAAAATTGGTGGTTATGTATTCCTGTACTCCAGGGTAACCAAGCATACGACACACCACCTCAGCGTCTTTCATGTCCCAT